GATCAAGGACCTCAATCATCTCAACCTCTTCACCCCCCGGATCGTCGGCAAGGTCTCCCGACCCGCGAGCGGCGATTGGTGCATCGTCAATTAGCACGTCAGGGAGTTCTGGTGGTTCATCAGGTTCATACTCTTGGTCGACAGCATGTTTCAAAACCTCCTGATCAACAAGCTCTTCAATGTTTGCAGCCTTGACATCATCAATTGATGGCGGATTGCTCGAAATGGAAATGCCTGGGTACAAACCTTCTCTTATCATGTTGTACCTGCCTTTGCATGGAAAGTGTAATCCGATGTCGGGAACGGCAATCTGATGGACTCTTAATGGTTGGATCTCCGCACTGAAGTCTGATTCCATGACATCCTTCAATGGTAGAACCATGAACTCCTTTCTCCTCACAAAATTGGACTGAACGGCATATCCCAAGAATATCCCTGGGTTTGACGTCGGCTCGAACCTGAGAGAGGACTTGGCTTTGTTCTTGGGGCCGATCCAGTAATCAATCCTCAACCCAAAGGGAACCAAAGGGCCTTTGAACTTCTCACCGAACCGAAGCGACCAAGGCGAACTACCCTCCCGGGTGTCGACGATATTGTTTGCCATGCATGCATGCCTGGCAGCGTGAGCCCAATACTGATGGTGTAGGCCAGCTTGCTCTAGGTTTACCCTTGTTCCATCGATGACGGACCGAATGGATCTCTCGGCCATAGCATTGGTCTTAGAGACGTATGCAAAGCTTGTTTGATGCCTCCATCCTAGCCTCTCGGCAGTCGCGATGAGTTCCGGTGAATTGTCGGAATAAAACACTCCTACATCATCAGTCGAACGGACAAAATGCTTGAAGGCTGCTATGCATTCACGTGTTGATCGACGTGCGGCCGGATAGACATACCTGAAATCCGTTGCCACGTCTTTCACGACCAATGCGACGCGAGCCCCATCGATGTCCATTTCCTCATCGTCACGAATAACAAGATGGTCAGCAGTTAAATGTTGCCCGAAGTGATCCGCCTCTACCTGGGTTGAACCACCCTTGCTATACGATGGACGTTTGGTCATCTTTGCTCTTGAGCAGGCTTGACAAAAGGGGTTCTTTGGGGTATGAGTCAACAGATGTTGAATGGATTGTGCTTCTTCTTTGAGAGCTCTCTCTCCCCTATCCCTCTTCGGGTCCAACGGTTTCTCCATCAACCTTTCATCCACCGGCTCGGGATCATCTTCAACAGGATCCTCGCCAATGGGGTTGTCCTCATCGTCCTGGACTTCAATTGCCTCTTCAGCCGGTGACGCGGGCAGAGGGATCATTGGTCGCAGCCCCTTTGACCGATCGTTCGTACCGTAAGGTTGACCTATGGCGGACATTGCAACACCGGTGGTTGATGGCAAGTATGGAACATAATCCTCTACTTCAAGCTTGACTTTGGTTCCGTCTGGTTTCTTGAAGTACGGCCTACTATAAGCGGGCCAGTGAAAGCTCCATCCTGCGTCGATGCAGCGTTGACCTACCGATACGACGGCTGGGCTATCTTCCAAGACATAAGGATTGATATCAGTTCCCAGCACGGGAACATTGACTCTGGCTTGATCAGTGGCTTGAAAGACTCCGTTGGCAGTAAGAAGACTGACCGGTTTGGACGATTGTGACACTTCATCCGAATGTAGCATGTGTCTGGATACAAGATCGTGTGCGCTGCCAGTATCTGCAATCCATGCAATCTCAGTGGCTGGCACTGTTGGACATGACCTCCTCTCAAAACACTTGATGCAACCTATATCAGAGTTGCACAGGTACGAACATTCTGCCGGCAAGGACAACAGCTCGTTCCTGACAGCATTCTGAAGGTGTGATGCTGCAATGGATGCGTCCTCAGTGGCGACACGAACTGCCTCAGCATGCTCCGGTCGACCTGGTATAAAGGGTCTTCGTTTCTTCTTACTCCGGGGTTGAACGGATCTCCAACTGGAAGAAGACTCAACAGCATGATTGAAAACGTTTGGTTGATCGTCAAAACGAACTCTTTGCGTAACAAAACTGTCAATGTTTTCCGTATTGTCAAAATCGGTGCACATAGTGTTTGATGCGGAAAGGACTGGCATGGCCACGCTTCCCAGCGGGCGAGTGATGAGGACGGAGGATCCCTGAGAGACCACTGCGGCCATGACCACTGCTCGAAGGAGGCATACCGCTGCCGGTGCATTGGAAGAAGAAGACTTCCCACCTTTTCTCCTCTGACTCTCAGAGCCAGTTGAGTTTTCGGAGCCTGATGATCCTCGTGAGCTGCTTCGCTTGCGAGGTTTCTTGTCTTTCTTCTTCTTCTTCTTTTTGTCCTCTTTCTTCGCAGGGACAGTCTTTTCGGGGTGTTGGAATGCGCAGTCTTTTCCTCGGTGACAATGTCCTGCCTTCCAGAACTTGCAAGTCTCCTTGCGAGATCCTGGTGTCAGCGATCTTGACCGAGATTGGCTGCGATCCTTGCCCTTTCCCTTTCCTTTGCTTTTCTCGCGGCCTTTTTCGTGCTTGTAAGGACATGATGATCCGCGCTTGCATTTTCCGGTCTTTTGGAACTCGTAGCAGATGCCTTTCTTCTCCTCCGGAGCTGGCATGGTTGTGTCTTTGGACCCGAGCGAACGCTTCGTAGCGTCGCGCATCTTTTCCAACCTCTTCCGTTCGAGGTAGGCCCGGGCAGCGGTGATCAGGAAGTCATACGTTCTTTCTTTGCTTCCATCGGCTGCACGGTCGTACAAGGCCAAGTCATGCTCAAGCGGCTTGAAACGCTTCACTGCCAGGTGAAAATAGGCTTCCAGAACATTGTTTTCCGGTTCCTTTTTCATTCCGGCAAGAACGCTATCCCATTTATTTATAAAGCCCTTGAGGTCATCGTTGACCATTTTGACGGACATGAGGTCTTCGAGCCCGTAGATTGCTCCATGCTTTATGCTTGTGGCAAAATACTCGTGGAACCGAAGGAGCAAGTGTCTACCCTTCACGTTCTTGTCTTCACGAGCACGCAGCTCCTTGAATGTAGCAATCTGCCGACCGAGGTCCCCCTCAGCGCAATTTGTTAAGCTTGCAAGAAGCTTTGCGTCGAGGGTTGCAAATCCCTCTGAATCATCCAAGGCGTCAATGGTTTGGGAATCTTTGTATACTTTCCCAACCCAAGATCTTGCTTCATCCGGCTTCGCTGAAGCTGCAGCAATATTGTCCCTCACCTTGATCTTCCAGTCTCTGTACTTCTCAGGCGTGGGGAACTTGGGAATGAGAATTTTGTCAGCTTCTTTGGCTTTACTCTCATGATCCTTGTCTTTCGACTTCCTTTGCTGCTTCTTCAACTCTTTGCGAATGATGCGTGCAAGACGCGATGATTCAGAGCTTGAGTCATTTGAGTCATCACTCCCTCCTGATGAACTTGGTGACGATGGTGATGGGGAAGGAGAGCGTTTCTTTCTGCGCTCCCTCGAGCGGCCCCTCTTAGGGCTCTTCTCTTTCTTCTTATCCTTACCTTTCTTCTTCTTGTCTTTCTTTGATTTGTCACCACCCTCTTCATCAGCATCGGATGGATGAGGCTCATCACCGCCTTCGATCCCGGGCTTCTCCAACCGAGTGCGAAGGCTCGCTGGAGGCAAAGCTGGGGACACGTGAGAGCCAGGTGGCTGCACTGATGGTGCAGGCACTCGGTTCCCCGAGGCGTTGTCAAACCTCTCTCTCAATTCCTTGATGATTCGACTCTGTTCTGCTAACTCTGACCGAAGTGCATCCTCTCTTTGCTTGGCAAAGGCGCGTTCGTTCTCAACGACGGTGTGTCGTTCGAGCGAAAGGCGATCTAGGTAAGCCCGTTGTTCTTGAAGATTTTGATTCTGGTGGGCTTGGTTCATGTCACTCAATCGTTGATTGGCTAAAGCCTCAATCTGTTCCCTAGACTCCTGGACAGCCACTTTAGCTTGGTTCTCCACTACGTCTCTAAAATGCCTAGCTTCCTCAGCTACTTGTTGCCCGTGCTCGGCCAAAATGGCCTGATGCCGCAACTCCGCGATCTGAGCTACCTGTGCTGACTTGTCCTCATTGACGAAGACTGCTTGTTGATGGATCTGTCTCGCATCAACGTTCTGGACATTCATCATAGGAGAAAACTCAGGTTGAAACGGCGATGGTGCTTGACCACTAGGCAACAGGTCCCCCTGTGCACTGAACATTGGTGGCGCAACTGGTACACGCAACTCCAGCGGAACAACAGGGAGATCAACAGCAGGTGAACTGGACATCGCAGGCGAAGTAGGAACATAGCCTGATCGTGAGCGGTCACCACGGGAACCATCATCATCAGCCATGGCCTCTAGATAGTGCACTACCTAGGGTGGGGTGAGACCACAGCTAGTAGAAAGCACGTACCGCACTTATGGCGATACGGCTGATAACCTGTAGATACAGGTAAACGACCGATAACTACCAACAAGTCGCACCTGGTTTTCCTTGAGCCAAAATGGTAGTAAAGTGAGACATGTATACGACATCCTAGCGTGAAACAACAATGATGAAGCAGGGGGAGTGTGGTTTGCGTTTTTCGCATAGATGTGAGGCATGAAGTTGCCATGACTTGAGGCATGAAAGATGCCAACAACCGACCTGAATGATGGCTCAAGAAAAGCCGCAGCTGCCCTGGTTTTTGCTGTGGCTTGAAGGTCAGGTTCAAACACGCTCAGATTCATTATACCCCCCCATGGAGATGCAAACGATTCGATTCAGAATTTAGGCCGTTTACAGATTCTGCAGAACCCATGCCCAGACTGGGTCCCGTCTGACCCAGTCAAACCTGCTGGTCTTTTTTGGAACAATCCATCCCAAACACTCCATGGGACTGCCATAGGACTGCCGATCAGGCCAGGGGTGGTTGAACGGGGGTCAATTGATCGGTAGTCCGTCCTGGCAGTCCCATCTGTCGTGTCTGGGTGTTGAGCTCTTCGACACCCGACCCAGCTCCCGCCGACATCACTAGCGCCACGGCACACAACACGACGTCCTCGCGGTACTCGGTGATCCCAGGGCGCAGCAACCTCATGCGGTACCTGCCAGAGGGTGGCACCGCAGCGATACCGTGAAGATTGGGCCAAGCTGCGCACTACAGACCTACAGTTCTGTTCCAAGCATTCTTTAAGGGTTGAAGACCATCCGGCCGTCTCGGATGTTCTGCGTTGGGCGACGTACTTTCACCTGCAAGACCATCTGAACAAAATGGTGGACCCTATGGAAGTCTCTTCGAACATGCCGTCTGTTTAGGTCATGTCATGTCCCATGTTTGTTCCCGGGTACGATCTACATCCATGCCAGCCCCCCTTCCACGGGTCGAAACGGGGCCCAGAAGCCTGCCTGTCCGCCTGGGTGACCATCGACCAATCCCAAAATCCGATTCCCAGACTCGCCTGGACACGCCGATCGCTTCCTCCACACGTCGCAGCAGCTCTCTGATCGAGTCCGAGGCAGGAGGCTCGGGCGAGGAAGGCGGCTCCAAGGTCAGAACCACCTGAGCAGATCGAGATCTGCAGAGCAGACCAGCAGAGGTTGAAGAACCCGAACTAGACTACCTGACTACCCCATTGTTGGTCACTTAACCATCTTAACCTCTGTTGGGAGGGGATCGGGGGCTTTTCATGTGGCCCAAATCTGCTCCTCAGATCGCTGGCAGACAATTGAAGCCAAACGATCCGGATCCCTGAGAATTCACGACGGGCTTCGAGCAGAAACATCCTCTACTCAACCGATGTGTCAGGGATCCATCGATGGAGCCATCTTACAATCCATCGTCCAGATTCGTCCAGGATCGTATTCTTTGTGAGGGGTGAAAAGCAGCATTCACTTCCTTTTAGCGAGTCAAGGAGGTCGAAAGATGGGATCCATGATTCATGATGGTGCGACAGTGACCCGGTTGCCTGGTTGATCCCAAATCGAGTAGGAAAACCATGAAACTGTGCCCATGTGTTCCGTAAAACAAACATAGATCGGTGCTTCGAATCGCCCAGCATCCGTGATCAAACATCAAACATCTCTACCTGCAGTCACAAAGGGGTGCTTAATGGAGGTTAGGGGTGCCCAGCTACTCCACTCACTTGAGGACTAAACACCACCCCTTTGTGACTGCTGGTATCAGTCTCTATCTACATCTCCGTTGTTGTTTTGAAGTGGGACTATCGAAACTGAGTGGGACTGGAGCTGAGGCAAACAAAATGTCCGCAGTCACAAAGGAGTGCTATTCATGGAGGTTAGGGATGCCCAGCTACTCCACTCACGTAAGGGGACGTTTCACACCACCCCAGACATGTCAATGTGACTCTTGGTACTTGGATTGTTTCGGACCAAAAAAGCACGACGGAATCGTCTTGTCAGACCATGTCAAACCCATCCCTAAGGGTCCAGGAGCATCCGGCCATTGGATGTCCTTTGACCCCCCGGCAACGACCATTCGACCTGGTTTCGTACGAGCTCACCGTTCGACAAACCGAAGGATGGAGGTATAACTGGACCCGAACTGGGCATGGTGATCATCGACCTCAAACCCCGACCCGAACTTGGGCTCCAGTCGTACCGACTGAAAATGGACCTATTGGATCCTCCTGGCACTGGGGCGTCCCCGCGCCCGGAAAACGTGCGAGGCTCGAGCCTCACACGTGAAGTGCCGCGCCCGTGACTGGGCTCCAACAGAGGTTGAATGACCCGAACTAGACCATCCTATAGGTACCCCTGCATGGTGACGGGTCCTAAAAAACCGGTCACTAGCTACCTCCAGTCGCACCTGTCCAGAGATCTGCACGACCCGCAGTGCCATGGGCGGTGGTGGTGAGGGACCGGTGGTGAGGTGGGGGTGGTGGTGACGGACGTCCCACACCAACCAGCAGAGGTTGAAGAACCCTATAGCCTATCCTATAGGTACCCCTGTAGGGTCCTATAAGGTCACTTAACCTCTGTTGGAAGGTCCTGGTCCAAAGGTCTTGCCCTGAGCGGACCCTGGCCCTGCTGAGGGCTACTATGAGGGCTTGCGAAACGAGCCTGCATAGAAACGAGCTCGGCTGTTTTTGTTGTTTGGTTTGTTCATGGGTTTGAAATGAGGGCCGCTGGTCAGGATTTGCCAGATCCACCGTGCACGCTTTAGAATGGTCGAATGGGTGAGGCGAAACGGATGATGTGGATGCCAATGGATGCCGTCTCCAGTCCTGCCGCGTCCTTCGCACCTGAACAGCTGCGGCAGGTCGGTTCGCATGGCGGCGAACGTCGGACTCCGACTCTCCGGAGCGACGGATGACTCGGAGCGACCGATCCAGACCGATCAACACTGGAGCGACGTCTATCGATGGTTCGGTGTTTTCACAGCCCCGGCAAACAGATTGGGAGCGTCTTTTTGGAGCTTCCTGATGAGCGAACCAGGAGGATGAAAACACTCATCTGAGCCGTGCTGGAAAGCTTGATGGATTCTCAATATGACAAGACCCTTACTCATTACAAGCAAGTCCCAAACACTCCAGGTCCATGTATGCCATATTTGCCTACATTGACCCCCAAAACCACCCAATGTTGGCAAATATGGCATACATGGAGTGTCTGGGAGTGGGTTTATGGCATTATTTTTGTCGGATCTTCGAACTGGATGTCCTGGCGAGACGACTTTGTTTTTTCGGTCGTCACGTGGTTGGCTCCGGTCCCTGATCCATGACATCCGTGGATACATTCGGCGACCAACAAATGATCAAAGCCATGTGGACCCACATATACCGAACCTCAGCTACGGTGATTGGGAGACTGTTGATGTAGGCAGTCGGCGCCGGAACCAGGGCCCAGCGTACCGAAGCTGAGGAGATATATGTGGATCCTCCAGGGAAACGGAAAAGCTTCCAAATAGAGTCAACCGATCAAACTCCGATCAAATTCGATGTGAGCCTTGGCTCACATCACCGATGCGAACAAAGAGTCTATAGTTGGGCCTTGAGGTCAAATGACTCTGCGAGCCCATCAAACAAATGGACAAATTGCCTGGCAAGAACATCAAAGAGATTGGTTTAGGGTGAGTGGTTCATGCTGCGAGTATAGTCCCTTTTTCCATCTTTTCCAAGATCCGCACACTTGTGGGTTTTACCCACAAAACCGGCCCTTTGTTCAGGCCCCGGCAAGAGCGACATCGGGCTCCCATGCCTTTCAGTGCACCATCTCAAGGGTTGCTCACAAGGTATCAGGTGGCTACTGAATATCTCACTTCGCCTACATCACCTCAGGTTCGGTGACCGCGGATGGTAGACAGAATCCTGGTGTGTACATGTTGACCCCATCGCGACGCTGGGGGGTCTCAAGGCTGTTCGAACTCGAAAACCCCCTCCACCAGAACTGCCCTCCTGCAGGGAAAAAAGGAGACCTGAACGTTGAACGAGGCAATTCTATGAGATGCATGAATGTTGGATCGATGGTAAAAACACTTAAAACTAAAACGGATCATGGATGTCGTGCAAAGGACCTTTCCAAGAATGCCAGTCAACATCCAGTCGTTCCCGCGTTCGGCCTCCTTCTGCCAAGCGTGAGATCCAGTGGCGGAAAAAGTCTTCGCAATGGCCCCCTGTTTGATGGGTGGCCGCCCTCTTGCAAACCCATCCGCACCAAGTGTGCCGGTCGGGTTGAGAAGCGCTACGCAGCATCATTGGCTAGGCCCAAACACTCCATGGGACTGGAATAGATGCCGGACCCCATTCACCCATTTTCAACATTGTTCAACCACCCCAGTGTATGTATACATAATATGCCATACATGGTGTCTGCGCTGGAGTGTCAGCCATTTTAGGGCCCCACGTTGTGCACACTGTGCATTCGCAGGGAGCTGTGCTTGTCCAGCGCATAATAAGGGACCAGGTGCGAAATGGGGCAACGCAAGCGCAAGCCAGGGCTGGTGTTGTTCTGTTTCCGAACTCAAAGCAAAAAAGAGTCCACAAAGTTTGCATAGCTTAATTAATTAATGTCATGATTAACACAATAACTCGTATACTGCTTGATTGGATAGTTCAGGGATGTTGATGGTCTCTAATCCAGCTGTCTCAGTGTTCACAGCTGTCTCAGCTCTATTCTTTCCTCCACCCTTGACAGGCCACCCCGGGCGTCATGCGCCGCCGGCTTCGACGGTCCGCGCTCCGGGTGAAAAGCGTCGAGCGCAGCTCAAGGCGCCCAATCGCGGAATGGTCCACAGCAGCTTTCGGCTGAAGAATCGAGGACGCGGTCTGCTGACTGTGCTGACGTGTGTGTTGAAGGAAGCATGCTCACTGGGAGATGTCAACCTTCCCTAGCTGGGGGAGATGTCAACATCGATTCGGAACTCGTTGAAGGTGAAGGTGGGGGGATGTGAACTCATCCACCAATCTCAGACCTTGTTTCAATGTCATGCTTTGAGTCATTATTCAGCAAGTTGAGCCACTTTTTGTCTCACTCGAGGTGCACAAAGTCTGCGAATGCGTCATTCCAGAAAATTTCTGCCTGCCTGCTGGAAGAACATGAGCTGAGCGGTGGCAAAAACCATTCGGAACTTTTATTAAGATTATAACAACCTTTCGCCAATCCCTTCGCAACGCTTTCGCGGCTGCATGCTTTGCTTTCGCCGACCCACTTCACATGACAACCTCTTTAGCTAACCCTTTCGCCGAGTTTCTGCTACTTACATCTAAGAACAGTATCAGCAAAGGGGAATCATTCCTAATCTGCAACCACTGCTTTCGCCACATCTTCGCGAACCTTTCGCCTGGTTATCAGGATTCTTTGGATGACATGCTTTGTACTGAAAACCTCTTCGCAATCCAAAATACCCCAATGGGTCCCTGAAAAATCTGAAACCACCGTATGAAAAGTCGACATGGGGGGAGCATCTGGGATTGTCAATCTCCAGTCATTTGCACCCTCCAGGAGCTGTATCCTGTATCCAACAATCAGAACCAGCAAGCACTTCAACCAATGCAGTGCTTAACAGCTTCCCTCTCATTATATCACAATCAACCAGCAAAACCAATCTAGAAACCCACACAAATATACACAAATAATTAACAGGAAGTTGAACCACATGAAATGGGGGGGCACTAGGATCTGCGAACTCCAATAGATCATATGCGTGTATACATGTGCAATTTGTCCTCGATCCCCGAGTACGCCTCACACCCAACGGTGGAGACGGCCATGCAGGAGAAGGTTCATGGCCTTCCATGCTTCCTACGGGACCGCCATGGATTCGATCCACCTCTTCCTATACCCATACACTCCATGTATGGCATATGTGGCAGTCAATGTAGATGGTTTTGGGGGTCAATGTAGGCATATATGGCAGTCCCATGGAGTGTTTGGGTATAGGGTCACCTCCTTTTCGAAGGCACGGAGCGAGACGCAAATGATCCGACGTCGACCTGGACGATTCCCACGGTGCTTGGGCATCGGGGAGTGGCCCCGAATCGTCCGGGTCCGCCGGACCCAAACGTTCAAATGGTGGCACCGTCTAGATCTGGGTCTGCTTGGAGTCCGCCCGACCGCGGCACCGTCTGGGTCTGGAGTGGTATAGGGTTTCGACCTTTCGGTGCCTTTGAACTACACACACCAGACCCGGAAGACCGAACGGTGCCACGCCTCGAGATCTAAGGCTCCTCTTCGGAGCTCCGGCTTTCGCTCAGATCTTTCGCCCCACGCGCCCCGAGCCCCGCGCTCTCCATGGAGATCACGCGCACCGTGCGTGCCACCGGCGGCGCGCCGCGCGGGGCACGTGCCGTCGCGACGTCGTAGGCGTCGGAGGGCAGTGCGCGCGGCGGCGAGGCTGGGCCCTTCTCCGACCTGCCGGTGAAATCGAACGCTTTCGGAGCCAAAGTGGAGATTCCTGGCCCAATTGAAGTGAAACATGGACTTGGAAGGCCAGAATCAAGGACCCCAGCGAGTGAGGGAGCCAGCATTCGGGCCCATCCACGTGCGAACTGGTCAAATTCGAAAGAAGGTAGTTAACCACCTTCTCAGGAGGTGGTTTAGGCCTAGGGCCGGCCGAGGGCCTATCCAAATCCAAGTACCCTGTTGTTTGCCGGTGCCATTGTCGGGTCCAGTCGCACCGAACCTGAAGGTGCGGCTGGATCCCTGAATTTAGGGCAGTTCAATCGGAGTATATTTCATCCATCTTCGAAGTGTCAGGCCGGCGGTTGGGGGGGTGTAACCCCCATCACCGGAGCTCCTAGCAGTTTCATGTAAAAGGGCTATATATACGTATTTCAGGTCACAGTCTGGCAAAAAGAAACCTCGCAACTTGCAGGTTTTCCCAACTTTCTGCTCACCTGGCGAACTGTAGAATACCCATGCCCCAGGCAGCCAATGCTGAAAACCTCTCGCTGGACTCCCTGCGCGGTGGCTCTGAGTGTGCCAAGCCCAGCACGAGCTCCTGAAGAGCTGTCCAGCCCGGTGCACAGGGAAACTCGGACATCCGGGTCCGTCTGGGTCCGGTCGTCCGTCCAAACCTGCAGTCTGTCCTGAACAACCCAGGCCCATTGGGACTGCCATTTATTTACACTCCCGAAAACTAACATAGACCCTGACGTCCTGGCCCCCTGGAAGGGTGTTTTCCTCTACCAACCAGTGGTTTTCAGAGTCCATGGGATCGTCTTCCAGGGTGTATCTATTGACCCCTTGAAACACCACCCCTGGCCGTTTTGAAGGCAGTCCGGCAGTCCCGTCTTCGGTCGCGTCTGGGTGGTGTATTCTGGCAGTTACAGACGCGTCCATCTTAAGACGCGAACTCGTCAAATTCTTTATACCAGGAGTCACGTTCGACGGGGTGGTGTGAAACGTCCCATCCAGTGAGTGGATGTGACAGGGGCACCCCGACTACCGACTTATGGATCGCACCCCGTTTCTAACGTGACTGCAGGTAGACAGTCACGCCGTACGTGTTCTTGTTCTCTGTGTGTCCCCTGTGAGGTCAGAGAACGGGTCGTGACCGACTAGTTCGTGGATACATGTGGCCTATACCAGGACCCGACTCGTTCGGGGTGTCTATACCCGAAGCGCTGTGATTCGGGGTGTCCATGTCTACCACCCCACTCCTGGGGATCCTGGGTACCCAGGATTTTCGATCCCACAATCTTCGGCCGGTCACTTCGACCCGTTCCCGGGCGGCTACCTGTGGGGGTTCCAGCACTCGGTCGCTGCACTCGGTCGCCGAACCAAAACCCCCATCGTCGCTCCCCCTCGATGGACGTGATGCGCTTGCAGCGGCTTTTCCTCGGAGCGGCTGTTCAAATCGGCCGAAAGCAGCGACGGAGTGTTTTCCGAGGCCTCCGTGCGAGCAATTGGGTGCGAACGCTGTCCAGCTCAGTAAGGGATCCAGTCGTACCTTCTCAGAAGGTGTTTGGAGACACTGTTATGTAGGCATTGGAGGTGTTTGGAGGCTCCAAGGACCTTCTGAGAAGGTACTTGGATCCCTAGGCCCATAGGGTAAGGATGGAACTGGATTGCACATGTTTGTATAAAGGAGAAGGGCCTTGCCGCCATGCATGGCCATCCACGTACCCACGCACTGTAGCGGTCGTGGGCATGCCACTCGTTGTGGGGAAGACTGGGACTGGGCGGTGGCCAGGAGGGTCCAGTCCTACCTTCTGCGGGCGCCAGGGACCCCGCGAATGAGTTCGTTGCTGTAGTCCCTCCCAGTCGCTGAGTGCTCCATCCGTGAGTGTTCCGACGCCGGGAAAGTCAAGGGAAAGCCACCACGTCCGGACCTTCAGTGACCAAACTTGAGATCCCGGTCGATCTTAGGCTTGTAAAAGAGGTCACCAAGGTCGTCCCAAAAGAGGTGACGGTCCTGGGGTCCCACGCGTCGGTGGCGACGTGGACGACCCCATCCACGGAATGGGCCGCAGGTCCAGGTCCAGGTCCAGCGGATTCCAGCGGTTAAGCCCCATCACCGGGGCCGCAAACTTGAGAGTTGAATCTCAACACTCCCAAACGTGCCATAGGACTGTCATATATGCCTATATATACATTGACCCCCCTGGCACC